AGCAGACTCGCTCCTGTCGAAGCCTGGCCAGCCCCAGGATGAAATCTGTGCTTTTCAAATGAAATAAATCGGTGGTGAAGGAGCAGCTCTGGTGAAACCCCCAAAGCAAAAGGGGTGGGAGCTTTGCACCCTTGTGGTTTGGTGCTAAAAGCCCTCTGTTGCTGGAGTGTGGTGTTGGCTCCGAGAGCAAGACAGATGATGAGGCAAAATCAGGTGAATCTCTTTAAAATGTTCTCTCCTTAACTTGCCTTTTGCACAGCAGAACCAGGAGCAGCTTTTCTTTGGGGAAATTGGGGTGAGGGCCCCAGAGCACCTGCATTTCTGCTGTTATCTCCTGCTCTAGTGGAAATTTCCCCTTGCAGAGCAGGCCATATGCTGGAGAGGGATGAACTCATCAGCTCCTGCCATGGCCCAGCAGGGAGGGATCCCAGCGTGGCTGCTTCGTTTTAATTAGCACTTCCCTCCAGGAAAGAAGTGCAGGCACAGAAATGCAAGAGATCAGGACTTTTTAAGCTGAGCCTGGCTCCTGTGAGGCTGCACAAAGCTGTCCCCAGGCTGCCATGCAGATGGCAGTGCTGCAGAGTGCCCTGGGGCTCCTTCCCCTGGGTGCCACCACCCCGAGCCACCGAGCTGGCAGAGCTCGGGTGCATCACAAGTGAGGCACCAGAGATTTGAGATGGCTTCTGTTTGCTCCCTCTTGGCTTTTTGTTGTTTTTTTGGTTTTGTTTTTGTTTTTTCCCCCTCCTTGTCTTGTATTTGCAGGGTTCCCAGACAAAGCAAGGAATAGTGAATATGACTCCATGCTCTCAGAAGGCTAATTTATTATTTTATTATCTATATTATATTAAAGAATACTAAATTAAACTATACTAAAGAATCCAGAAAGGATGCAGACAGAAGGCTAGGAAGACACTAAATGCAGCTCATGATTCTCTCTCCAGAGTCCGACACAGCTTGGCCCCAATTGGCCAATAAGCCAAAAACAATTCACCATTTCAGTTCATCAATTTCAATGCAACCAATGAAACACTCACCTGTGGGTAAACAATCTCCAACCACATTCCAAAGCAGCAAAACACAGGAGAAACAAATCAGATAATTACTGTTTTCCTTTTTCTCCGAGGCTTCTCAGCTTCCCAGGAGAAGAATCCTGGGCAAAGGGATTTTCCCAGAAAATGTGGCTGTGACACCTTGTTGCTGTCCAAGATGTGATCCCTGCTTTCTAATGAGAAATCAAGAGTGCAGCTCTCTGGGCTGGTGTCACACGGGGAGGTGACAAGGGACACTGCAGGCAGCAGAGCAGCTGGAATGTCCCTCTGGCTGAAGCACTGCTTGGGGCAGCAGTGTGGTTGATATTTCCTCTGTTGAGAAAATGGAATTTTGGGTGGTGCGTCAACAGCCTGGAGTTAATTCCATGGAGATGCTCAGGGCTGCTTCACTCTCTGGCTGCTCCTGGGTCCTGCATGACTGAAATCCCAGCCCAGCTCTAGAAATGCTGGATCTGCACAGGATTTTAAGGGATATTTTCTGTAGGATTTTAAGGGATATTTTGCTGGAGGCTGTGTCCTTTGTGTGTGCCACAGCAAGAGGAAGAGCTCATAATGCTGTGGAGAGCCAAAAGTGCTGGCAAATGGAAGGATCCTTGATTTAGGTGTGGATGGTTTGGGCTTGAGATGATCTTTAAGGTGCCCCCGACCCTTGGTGTGATTCTGTGGCTCTCTGTGCTGGAAGAGCTGACTGCTCTCAGAAATTCCTGCTGGAACAGAGAGAAGGGATCCACAGCTGCAGGAACAGGCACGGCCCCGCTGTCTTTGGGGTGTTGGAGCTCAGGAATCTCCCCTTGAGGCTTCACCTCTGCTCTCTGACAGTCCCTGGTGCCTCTCCTTGCCCCCCTTGGCTGCCCTGATTCTCCCCAGATCCCCGTGCTCAGCTCCTTGCACAACAGCAGGGCTTGGCAGTGCTGGGCTGGCCTGGGGACCCTCCCTAAAGCCAAAAACAGCACGCAAAGGTTGTTCATTCAGCAGCCAGGCTGCTCCTGGGGTCTGCTTCCAGCAGCCACACACGCTGCAGACGTGACCAAAGGTGCAACAGCCACCTCTCACTGCAAACTCAGTGAGTGCTTTGGAGTAAATGCCCTTTCAGTTCCCTCTCCAAAGAGAGAGGGAGCAGCAAATAAAAGATAACTCAGTGATTTCTGTCTCTCATGGTGGCTCTGCCTCTGATTCAAAGCCTGGGACTGCAGGTCCTGTGCCAGGAGTGGGGGCTCAGCTGTCATCTGCTGAGAGGGGCTGAGCTGCTTTCCAGGCTGAGGGAGAAGAGGGTGAATCCCCAGCTGAGCCTGGCTGGTGATCTCTGATGGCTTTGTGGTGATGGAGATCACAGCTTCATCCCAGGGTGATCCCTGTATCAGTTTGTCCTGGTGGAGATCCCACTGTGAGCTTCTTCATCCCAGGGTGATCACACATGGGTTTGTGGTGATGGAGATCACACTGAGCTTCATCCCGGGGTGATCACTGATGAGCTTGTGGTGGAGATCACACTGAGCTTCATCCCAGGGTGATCACACATGGGTTTGTGCTGGAGATCACACTGAGCTTCATCCCGGGGTGATCACTGATGGCTTTGTCCTGGTGGAGGTTCCACTCTGAGCTTCATCCCAGGGTGATCACTGATGGCTTTGTGCTGGTAGAGATCACACTGAGCTTCACCTCAGGGTGATCACACATGGGTTTGTGCTGAAGATCCCACTCTGAACTTCACCTCAGGGTGATCACAAACGGGTTTGTGCTGTAGATCACACTCTGAATTTCATCCCAGGGTGATCACACGGGTTTGTGCTGGTGGAGGTCCCACTCTGAGGTTCATCCCAGGGTGGTCACAAATGAGTTTGTGGTGATGGATAGAGATCACACTCTGAACTTCATCCCAGGGTGATCACACGGGTTTGTGCTGGTGGAGGTCCCACTCAGGAGCTGCAGCCCTGGGCACAGAGGGTTAAATCGTCGGGCAGGGACATCTCTGAATTTCATCCCAGGGTGGTCACAAATGGATTTGTAGTGGAGATCACACCGTGAGCTTCATCCCAGGGTGATCACCAGATCAGTTTGTGCTGGTGGAGATCACACTCTGAGCTTCACCCCAGGGTGATCACTGATGGCTTTGTGCTCATGGAGATCCCACGCTGAGCTTCACCCCAGGGTGATGCCTCAGCACTCCTGGCCGCTCTCTGCCTGCCTGGCAGCTGCACTGGCTGCAGGTCAGTGGCAGGAGAATTCCTAGCTCTTTGTCATTGTGAAGCACTCTGGGACGAATGTGGTGCATGAATGTGAGGCTGTGCTGAGGCTTTAGGCTGTGCTGGAATAAGGAACAAGATTTAAATGGGCTTTTTCTCCCAGTAAGTCTTATTTAATATGAAGGGGGGGTCAATTTTTCACTGTCTTGCTCTGAGTTTCCCCCACCCCTCCAGCTGATTTTGTGCTCTGCAGGGAGGAAAACGCTTGGCTATCAATAACAGTGATCACCCAGCTCCCCGTGACTCAAAAACCAAACTGAAGTCAGTGATCAGCAGTGCCTTCTGGAATCCCAGCTCCAAATCATCCAAACAAGTCTGTGACCCTGAGCCTGCAAGTCTGTGTTGCACAAGATGTTCAAAGCTGCTGCTTTGGGGCCGGGGTGGCCAGGAGCTGCAGCCCTGGGCACAGAGGGATGGGCTCCAGCAGAGCTCTGGCTGCCAGCACGCTCCAGAGCCTTGCAGAAACCCCGGCTTGGAGTCTAAAATCTGGGACCTTTTGCCTGGTGTTCAGTCCCTCCTAAACAAACCCACGTCTGATTAGAGGCACTTTAATTGCTCAGAGCCTTGGGTGCCTCCAGGAGCAGCAGGAAAGGCCTTAGGATGCAGTTCTTGTTTTTCAGCCTCGTGATTCAGGGGCTGCACAGCAAAGATCACATCCAATTTCCCTGGGAATCCTCAGCAGAAGGAGCAGCACCTGCCCAGCTCCAGATCTGCCACTGAATCCTCTCGGTGTGTCCATGCTGGGTATCTCCATTGCTGTCCTGGTGTGGCTTTGGACACAGCCACCCCTCCCAGCCATCCAGAGCAGATTGCAGGCCTGTGCCACAGCACCAACGCCTTTGATGTGCCAAAAACCAGAGAGAAAACAAAGCAGAGAGCTGAGCTGCTTATTCCAAGCACAGCTTGGGGTGGGGTGAAGGACCTGGGAGCGTTTCTGATCTGGTTTTGTGCCAGTTTGGGGTTAAACCTGTCCATAACCGTGGTGATCCTTGGAAACAACCCCAAACTCCGGGGCTCTGTGGCTTTAACACAGACTGCTCAGTCAGTTATTCTTTTAATTTCGGGCAGAAAGGAGCAGCCCTGGACATGATTGATTACCTTGGTGACATTCATGACAGCTGGGGCAATAGGGGATGTTTGCATACTTTGTACACAATACCTACAACTTCTTTATTGTCAACAAGGAAGGACTGAACTCCTTCAAAAGCTGCCTCATTCTTAATTTCCAGCTGATGAGGTGAGCTGCTGTAATTACACAGGCCTGTTTGAGCGAGTTCGTGGTAGAACTTCCAGTTCTGTGTGTACAAAAAAACCAGAATTATGGATTTGATGGGGAGGAATTCATCCTCTGCTTCCCTGTGGGAGAGGAGCTGCTGACTCAGAATGGTGAAGGTTAAAAATGACAAGTGCTGGAGGAGCAACAGGCACAATTAGGTTTGAACTATTGTGGTGCTTATGCAAAAACAATCTGATTTATTTTTAGCTCATGAATTCTGCTGGAAAAAAAATTTTTTTGAGGTGTCACCTTGGCAGCTTGATGCTGCAGTGATCACAGAAACCTGGCAGAAATTGGGATTTGAGTTACAAAAGGGTTAACTGAGACTGGGAAACTGTCAGGTCTGTCAGCCTAAAGTGATTCTATTTTTGGGTTGTCTAAAACAAACTCATAACACTAAAACCCTAATTATTCTACTCTTTCAATCCAAGCTGCTATTTCATTGTTTTGATTATCTGATATCATTACACATCCATATTTATGACAGCCCTGAAGACTCCAGAGTCCAAAGCTTTTATTTCCTGGGCAGACACAACACAGGAATTCAAAACAAGACACACACACACAAATATACATTTAAACAGTGCAGAAGAGGTAGTACCATTAATTAAGAAATATATAATGAGCAGTAAAAATACTGAGACAATTCATTGCATCCCTTTCAAGTATCACAGGAGCCTACAGAGCTATTTATTCAGCATTAATCCAAATTTAAAAGTGCCCTCTGTTCTCTGACATGATTTTAGCTGGAATTTTTTATTGCTGGCCTTCAGGTGAGTAGCTGAAGGGGACAGCACTTAGTTCAGAAATTAAACATCATGGTTTGTTAACAACTCAGAAAATGACCTTTGAATTCATTACCTACAAGAACCAGATTGTCTGTGCACCTCAGGATGGAAAATTAGGTATGGACACCAAGTATCTAACTTTTTTTTCCCTTTCTTTCTCTAAAAAGACCCAATTTCATTTTGCTTTGTTTTGGAGAGGAGAAAAAAAAAATTATATATATATATATGAAAGTGGATGAGTTTTATTGTTGCCCTGAAGAAAAACTCCAGTGTAGCCTTGAAGTTCTGCTAAGAAACTGCAGCATTTAGGTTTTTTCAAGGAGAAAAAACATGAACTTGATCTCTGTGGAGACAGAACCCTGAAAGTATTAAAAAATAAAGATGGAAAGGCTCTAAGAGGCTTCCCAGTGCATATTTAGGAGCACGCTCAGGTGCAGAGAAGCTGCAAAGAGCAGGAGATCCCAGAGCCAGAGCAGAAAACTTTGAGTTTTGAGCAGAGAGCTCAGCTCTGCCAGACCCGGCTGATTATTCCTGAAAGTTCTTTTGAACTGAGAGCAGCTGAGAGGTTTTGCTCTGTGAAAAGTGCTTTAGGGAAGAAGAAAAGAAGGATTATCAGCTGTAGAGGGTTAGGAATAAAAAGCAAAATAGAGCTCAGTAAATGCACTTGGTGCTGGCATTTCCAAGGTGTATCTGCTCAGGCAGATCCAGGGAAGGTTACAGGGAAAGAACAAGAAGAATTCCATTTCTTTGGATTTTTTTCCAGATTTCCTGGGGTTTTTTTTCCTATTGTTTAAGGTCTGATGGGCCAGCAGGTGAAATTAAATAAACCCAAAGCAAACAGCCAGGTGGAGGGAAGATCCTGCAGGTGACATTTATCTGATGAACTCCTCCTCAGAGGTGCAGGACGTGTCTTCTTCTGCGCTTTCCTCCAGAGCTGGCAGGTTGCCCCACTGCAACACATTCACACCTGGTGGGAAGGAGACAAAGCAGGAGGAAAAAAAAGATATTTCTGGATTGTGACTTTATTTTTAAGTTGCACAACTGTCTATTTTGAGAGAAAATAATCCCTGCAAAACCCAGGAAGTCACGTTCATGGTGAATAAATCTATTTTCTATCTTCCTTCAAAGTGATCTTGGGAGTGTTGTTGTTTATTTTTTTTCAGCCCAGTTCAGAGGATAAATATTTAGATAACCAATTATATAAATATAATATAACAAATATTATTTCTGTTAACATGTTAAGAAGAAGAAAGTTTAAAGTTTTAGAGTTTAAGATAAAAGAGGAAAAATAGATTTAAGACAGAAAAAAATAAAAGTTGTTGCAAAGGTAAACAAGAAGTTGAGAATGCAGAACTGTAAGTTTGTGTGTTAACATGATTAGCTAAGAAAACTTACACTGTAGCATAAGTCTATAAGACAAAATATTTAAAAATTAAGTTAAAAACATAAATATTGTTGTTAGCAGCATTTTATTGGTTAATCAATCTTTTAAAAGTCTTGTCATTAAGGCTCTTGTAACCTTCTGAACCATGCAGTAAAGATGGAAGCCAAACTCACCCTTCCTGTCTATGTAAAATATAAGCAAAATAAATCTCATAATCTAAAAAACTCAAAAGTTCCACCTCTAAATCACTCAAAATTCCTCCAAAAATCCCCCAGTAAAGCCATCCCCACCACTATAAATACACCTGGTGGTGGCCTTGCTGCAGCAAACCCTGAGTGGTGCCCACAGAGGGGCAGGTGCAGAGTGATTTACACTGAAATTCCATCCACAGCTGCCTCCCCACGAGGGATTTTCTAGGTTAGCAACACTTCCTCCACATGCCAGCCTGCTCCATCTGCCAGGGCTGAACTGGGATGGGAGGGGAGGGGAGGGGAGG